CCCCAAAACCCCAAAACCCCAAAACCCCAAAACCCCATATAGAAATTATCTAAATTTGAAAATTAGATTAACCAAATTATCTCAATTTTTATAAAGTTATTTGAGATGTTTCTAGCCAAATAGTGAGCCAAGCCAGAAAGAATTCTTCATTATTTAATTATTACATCTTCAGCATCATCTAGCCATGGATCATCCAAAATTTTTTCTGCTTTGATTCTTTTAGAGGGTTCTACTTTAAGCATTTTCTTAATTAAATTAGAAGCTTGTGATGATAACTTGCAATCATTTGGAAACTTGAATTTTCCTGTGGAAATTCTTCTGTACAAATCATCCTCAAAATCTCCATAAAAAGGAAGTCTACCTGTTAACATTATAAATAGCATCACCCCCATCGCCCAAATATCTGTTGGTTATCCATAATGATCTTTTTTCATTGCTAATTCTGGGGCCATATAATGTGGAGTCCCACATGTAAACTAAAGTTTCTTATCAGATCTAACACTGAATCCAAAGTCTATGATCTTAATTCTATTTTGGTCATCTATCAGAATATTTTCAAGTTTTAGATCTCTATGTACTATTTTCTCCTCATGTAAATATGCTACAGCTCCTGCTACTTATTTAAAAATAAGTTTTGCTTACTTCTCATCTATTCTTAACATAACTCCACCTTTTTTCCTTAGGAAGGAATATAAACTCCTACCCTGAACATACTCCATTATTAAATTTACTTTGATACCTGTATCTATGCTATCATATAGTTTGATAATGTTAGGATGGTCAAGTTTTTTAAGGATTTCTATCTCCTTTTTTAGGGAATCTCTTCTATACTAGTCACTCATTAATTTATTCTTTTCATAGGACTTAATTGCAACAACAGACCTGCTTGTTCTATGAATAGCTCTTTGAACAGATCCGAATGCTCCTTAACCCACAAGCACTTAAACTTCATAATCCTTGTGATTTGTATTATTCAAGCTGAAAGATTAGTTTTATCTACTACCTTATTAAGATTTGGGCAATGTAGGAGCTGATAAGTCTCTCTTCGAACGAGCACTTGAAGGCTTCTCAGTTTTATGTTATCTTTATTGCTCATTGTTTCTTGTAGTTGGCTTTGACAGCTTTCTATTTGCTCTAGACTTTTATGATATTTTGACTTCTTGCACATCATTAATTAGCCTTGAAGCAGCTTCTATCATAGATGTTTCGTTAGTTTCTATAGTCTAAGTTTTATCAATGATTGTGATATCATCTCCTCCTATTTGGCACTCTAAATGGTTTTTCAAGTCAATTTAAATGTCATACAACTGCAAATTTCTCTAAATATCTACAAGTTCTTTGCTGTTTTATTTCAGCATGTCACTGTGTTAATTCTAATACATTCTATTGAAGTTTGTTTATCTCTGTGTAGTCATTAAATTCTCATTGATATTATCTTCAGTAATTATTGATAGTTAGGATCTTCTGGCATCTATAAAAGTTTCATGCATCATATCTGGCTCAACTATTAATATGTCATCATTAGCCATATCGCAAATATCAATAGCGTCTTAAGGAATTCCTTAATCATTTTAAAAATCTTTCATTATTGATTGAGGTTGCTAGGGCTTAATTGCAATACTTGGTCTTGCAGACCTAGATTGAAGTCTGCTCTTCTAAGATTGATTTCTTTTGTTCTGAACTTTTGTTGATTAGTTTTAATTTATTAGTACAATAATATTTTCTTTCTAAAGTATTTATGAAAATTCTTATATTCTTACATTCTCGACATAGTCCTTGTGTTAGAGAGTTGATAAATTCGGTAATACATTTGTAATATTCAATTCTTCACCCTTTAAACAAAATGAAAGATCTTTAGGAGGCAGCTTAGATAGTCTCACAGATCTGTTTACATTTTTCCTAATATTTACCCTTTTTTAATAATTGGAATGAGAGATGTCTAGAGGAGTAGCCTTCTTTATTGCCTTTTGCTGTTGTTGCTAAATTTTAATGTGATTTTCTAGAGATGGTAATTTCCTAGGTATACTTTTGGGATTAATGTCTGCTTTTGAGGCTTAATGGCTGCCGCTAAGTTTCTTAATTTTTGCATCACTAATCTGCATCTTCGGGGAATAGACTTGCATTAGAGTCTTCTTAATACTACTTCTAGGGGGAAGATCTCTTGAATAATTCATAGATTCTTTATATTTAAATGTTTATAAATAACTGAAAATATTTCATAAATTTTGTTA